ACTAGTGACAATAAGGCCATGGATCTAAATTGCCTTAACTAGAAGCTAAATATGTGTTGTTGATTGTATTTCTATGGTTTATACCTAATAAAATTTTCTTGAAGTTCTTTAAGGTGTTTGACTTGAAGAATTGATCCTTTTGAAGTTGCATTTGTTGAGATCTGGTTCTGACGTTGAATGTTGAACTATAATGTGACAGAAACTTCATTAATTTATATAGAGCTTCAGTGGTTATAGGAGTTGGGTTTAAGGATTCCTGTGAATTTGATGGTTATTGTGCTGTAAAATTTTTTACAATTTTATTGCAATTGATATGAAGTTATATTGTTTCCCTAAACGGTTGGATCTTTGATTCTATTTATAAGATTTCATTTTTAGTCTTTGCAGTTACTTCATCAATGCAAGTGGGATGACAAGCCTAATGTCACATTCAGTATGAATTATTATTGTTAGATAAACTACTAACAAAGAAGTGTTGTACAAAGCAATTATACAGTCTACCTTGTTTTATCGTTTTATCTCTCTGCTACCTTTAAATTGGTATCTTCAGTATGGGGTATTGCTCAGCACAATATAATCTCATCTATCTAGTTTACCTTTGAATGCTAGGTGGCTGTTTTGTGGAAGGTGAATGGTTAAGAAATGCATTTCGTTGGAAAGAAACTATTGGACCGTGGGAACAGAGGCCTGGACATTTTGGTGATGTTTGGATGTACTGGACTGATGATGGACTTGGCTATTTTGAGTTTCTCCAGGTAAAATTTTATGCTTTCCTGTGGTTAAAGGAATGGGTTATAGCCTCGGTTAAAGAATTTTGATGATATGCCTCTTTTGTTCTATTACCATTATGTTTCTGCAGCTGGCAGAGGACTTGGGTGCATTGCCAATTTGGGTCTTCAACAATGGTAGGCCACAAATTCTTCGCCTATGGAACTGGATTTTGTTTTAAAATATCATGTCCTTGATGAATGTTTTTATGTTTCTTTTTCCCCTTCAATAATTTACAGGAATCAGCCATACTGATGAAGTCGATACTTCCAGCATTTTACCTTTTGTTCAAGTATGTCTCTTGGTTTATTGCTTTTGATTTACAGGTCAATGGTCACTTGAACTGATCAAGCAATTTAGGAAGATCGATTATTAAAAGCTTAATATCACTATCTGGCCATTTGACTTAGTATCACCATATTGTTTATTTTGGAATCATCATCTGCTCTAGAAGTTTAAGCTAAACTGTTAGAGAAGAATGTAACATAAGTATTTATCCAATACTCCCTCTCATGTGTGGCCCCTCTTTGGGTGGTCTATCAACCAGATTGTTTTTTCTTGTGTTACAAGGGAGAGACCTGATGTGATTTGAACTCGGGACCTCTAGGCTTTGATATCATATTGAACCACCATTTCATCTAAAAGCTTAAGCTATTAGAATAGATACTACTTATTAATTGTGAACTTTGTTCTTTCAGTGGTTTTGAACAACCAGCTGTCTGCTTCCAATAAGACTAAGCATCCAAGAACCCTGTACTTTGTCGTTGATGTGAATATACAAATAGGAACACTAATTTTGATGGTGAACTTTTAAAGAGCATTGATGTACTTGTATTCACTTGTTTTGCAATAAGTATCTTTTCCCGGCAATGTGTATTTATCTTATCTAATGCAATTTTGGAACATAAATGAGTTTTTCTATTTGTGCTATTTTGTGGAGGAAATGACTCAATTGACAATTTGTTGCCCTTAATATGCATATACATCTGGGAAAAGATGTTAATGTTGCCTGAGAAAATTGATAGATGCCACTAGCAAATATATTATAAGCTCTTATATTGCTGGTGTTGTTAACTTCCTCATCCATTTCAACATCGGTAGTATCCATGTTGGCTATAGTGTATTTCACTGCTGATTGTTGTTCATCTTGATTGTAGGAAGCCCTAGATGGTATTGAGTTTGCTATAGGTGATCCTGATTCAACATGGGGTTCAGTTCGAGCTGCAATGGGACACCCAGAACCTTTTGACTTGAGATATGTCGCTATTGGGAATGAGGATTGTGGAAAGAAAAATTACCGTGGTATGCTTATTTTGTTAATCAATGTTTTTGTTTGCGGACGTTTCTCTTTTTGCTCTTTTGTTTGGATGAAACCAATGACATTTTCAATGATGGAAAGATATAAAACTATCAGTGAGAAAAGATTGATTTGATACCCATAGATGGTTAGTTTTGAATAAGATAGAAAAAAAAGGATGTGATAGCTTGTGGTTTAACAAAAAATATTGCCCTTGATAGAACACTGGAGAAGCATGATTCATGTATCCGATTTCAAATAATTAGGATAAGTCTTTGTTGAGTTGAGTTGAATTATAATGTCGCATGCAATTTGGAATTGGGACTACTTGCTAATTATCAAGGATGCTGTAGATGCTAATGCTTACTTTTTTGAGTCAGGAAATTACCTCAAGTTCTATGACGCCATAAAACGTGCCTATCCGGATATGAAAGTGATCTCAAACTGTGATGGGTCTAATCATCAATTGGATCACCCAACTGATTTATATGATTATCATGTAAGGTTATCAACTGCACGGTCTTCACCAATTGATCAAATATGTATCAGGCTTTATGTTTCACAACTTTTATAATATAATATGCCAATAATGGATGAGTGGTTGGACAATCTGGCAGCATCTTATTCTTTGATTCTGTGGTTAGGTCTATAAAGAAGCAAATGCTGTGTTTTCTATGGCTCACAATTTCGATCATGTGTCACGTAAGGGTCCAAAGGTGTGTTGATATGCTTTTCAGTTATTTTTGCGCTTAGTTCTCAATGTTTGTTGATAATATTGCCAATGAATGACTTTCAGGCTTTTGTGAGTGAGTATGCGGTGACTGGAAAAGATGCTGGCGGAGGTAGTCTTTTGGCGGCTCTGGCTGAAGCTGGATTCCTTATTGGACTAGAAAGGAACAGGTCTGTTGTTCAGGACTCTGTCATAAACGTCCACTTCATTACAGATCATTGTCCTCAAAACTCACTATGGAAAATAATCCTTCTTGACTTGTCAAGAAAAAAATAAATATCCGTTTAACAGATTATTCATTATGTTCTCTGAAACAAACATATGCGTTTATCATGTTCCCTTAATTTGTATTATATGATTTCCTTGGTAAGAGGGGATATTTAGTTGATTTGGCTCTGTATTTTACTTTGAAACCTGACCCTGTTGCTGAAATGGTGCTACGTTTCATAGGAGATTTTTTGCTTCCGTATATACAAGTATATTTTGAATAATAAAAAATCTGGAGTGTTATTGTACCTATGGTCTGGTCCTAATTAAGCATGACCAAAGAGTGTTTTCAATAGTCACTCAATAAGAGTATGTGTGCAAGTTCAAGAAACTTTCGGGATGGGATGCTCAAGCTTGTTAGCTAATTAAGATGGGGCATTCCAAAGATCAAAGTGCACCTTAAAGCACTTTCATCAGAGTAGCATAACTAGTTATGGGGTGTGTGTGTGTGTGTACACTTCATGCATGGATATAAGTAATCACGCCTTCTTCTGTTCTGTTATTTAATATTTTTTTCAAGTTACTGTTGATTGATTTGGATATTGAGGACTTCCTTTTGTTCCTTTATTATAGTGATGTTGTTAAAATGGCAAGCTATGCACCTCTATTTGTGAATGCAAATGACAAGCGGTATGTTTTCTTTCTTTTTTTTTTTTTTTATCTTTAATCCCTTCTGTTATCATTCCAAATTTGGTTCTACATTGACTGTACTAAAAGGAAGTCTCTTTCACAATAGGTGGAACCCGGATGCAATTGTTTTCAACTCCTCGCAGCTGTATGGAACTCCTAGTTACTGGATGCAATGCTTTTTCGTACAGTCAAATGGCGCAACTCTTTTAAATACTACACTTCAAGCCAACTCTTCGAGCTCACTTATTGCTTCTGCTATTACCTGGCAAAATTCGGAGGATGAGAAGAATTACTTGAGAATTAAGGTTTGAAAATCCACTCATATAGAACATCAGAATCTTCTATGATCCAGTTTGGCTATATTTACTTTATTGTCTCAGTAAACTAACTTGTTGAACCATCACCAGCAATGCCCATTATCAGTGTCTGTAAATAAATTTTATAACAGCTCTGAAACTACTGTACTCTTCTTACAAATGCCAGGCATTCTTGCTTAAACTCCTAATTGCATTGATTATGTTTTATATTTTCTTTTTTATCAACATTGACATTTTTCGAAATATTATTGCATGTCTGATTCTAAGAATGATGGAGTCACAAATTTCATGTTCTTTCTCTGTCAAGAATCATATGTTTTTATTTTTCATGTACATTCTAGCTTTTCTACAAATAGGGATAGCACAGATATGATGATTCCATTTTTTTCTTTTTCTGTTTCTTTATTGTCATTTGTGGTTTCATATATTTGATTCTACAACTAATCTCCACTCAGGAAAGTCTTATACAACTATTTCTAGTTGGCCACATGAATCCTCTTCCTCCATTGTGCTCTATCAAAGATCATATTTGCTGTTAAACCGCATAATATGTAATGGACTACAATGGGCAATTATATGCTTCTGTACTCTTTGCAACAGAATTTCGATTCAAGGATAGGAAACAAAGTCAATGTCCACGTATTCGTCATTGACTATATTTGCATATGTCATTGTGTTCCCAATCTACCATATTTGATAATACTTGACTTCAAATAGCATGTACCTGGTGAATGTTTTTATGTTCATAGTATATGCTGCTAGTCTGTGAGCATGTAATGATTGTTAGAGCATCCAGCTTTAAAGTCAAAACTAATTAGCTATGAGTGGGGAGGCCCCTTCAACCACATTAACTAACCTTGGGTGGACCTAATCTTTTCAAGGTGGGGATAAATTTCTCTTACACCCTCCCTTATGTGGGGCCCATGCTTACTTGTGAGCTAACAAACAAATAAACATACATACTGGAAAACCCAAATAGGTGGCAGACTTGGTGCACTAAGTACCTGAGGCCCAACTTTGGCATCATGTTATAGCATCTCACCCAAATTCAATTGGTTACGAGTGGAGAGGCCTCTTCAACCATATAAACAATCTTGGTTGGACCTAATCCTTCGATGTGGGATATGAGCTCTTTTTGTACAGTATTGAACCTACCACACACTAGCTGGAGCAGAAGCATCCGTCTTAATTTTGAATGGCTTCTGAACATCAGGCATGCATTTTACCTAATTGGATAATTCTGCTTTCTTTGAGTACCACCCCAGATTAAATGAAATTCATGCACAACATTTCTTGTATGTCTTAATTTATCCATGTGTGATAGTTGGTCTATTTTTCTTCGATTATTGAAACGTGATATTCTATACATTGCTTGTTGGGTCCTTTGATGTTTATTGGTTAGTGACCTACATTTTTTTTGCTGATAGAATCAGGTAACTCATGTTATCCAAAGCCTTAAGATAGAGGTCTTCAAGTACATGTACAAAAATTGGTAGATAATTGTGAATCACCATGCTAACCTAGTTTTTAGGTATTATTTCAAGGTGTGGCAAATCATATTTTAGTTCCCTTATTTATCATAATAATCTAGTGCAGGTCTCAACCATCTATGCCTTCCAAATATTTTCTGTGATTGTTTCTGATCTTTTTTTCCGGTGTGTTCACTTCCCAATTTTTTTAAAATCCAGGTTGTGAACTTTGGGAGCAACACTGCGAACCTAAAGATTTCTATTGATGGATTGGAGCTGAACTCAATACAATCATATGGATCAACAAAAACTGTACTCACATCAAGCAATGTGATGGATGAGAATTCTTTCAATGAGCCAAACAAGGTATTGAGTCTTCATAAGTTCATAAACACACATAAAGTCTAAATAGTAAATCAAGATTCTTCTTTTGTTAGAAGTATCCTCTAGCTTTATATTTTGTGCTTTTCGGGCTATCATATACCTTGCATCAACTGCAACACCGGATAAATATTGAAGAGAAAAGAAATAGGAACATGTAAATTCCTTTGACCAAGGCTGTGATTAAACACTATGTGAATTCGGCATCTGACACAAATGTTTCTTCCATTTGATCAGCGAACCCATGCATTCCGGAAAAATAAAAAAATCAGCTAACCCATCAAAGCCTTATCCTAACTATTTAACTGGCTACATGACATAAAAAGTATTTGTTGTCAATCCAAGCATTCTATTTCCATATTGTTTGTCAAATTACAAGCTGTTTTTAGGTTTGTTCGTTATATCCATTTGCTTTGGATAGACTTACGCCAATCCCTACCCTATGTACCATGGTTTGTTTAACACAAATAATTGGAATATGTGTAAAGGTATACTGTTGTTCTGTTTTTGAATTCCTTCCATTTTCTGCAGGTGGCGCCATTTAAAAGTCTATTGGAGGATGCAGGCAAGGACATGGATGTCACACTTCTCGCGCATTCTTTCACTTCGTTTGATTTATTAAGAGAATCAAGCGTTCTCCAAATTGCAGGATCTGGTTCTGTCCGTAAATCTCCAATCTAAAAATATGTATGATCACTGGTTCACAGCATTGTAATAATTACAGTACCCTAAGTTTTATGTAATCACTGGTTCACAGCATGTTGAGTTGGCCAGTTTCATCTCTGAACTCGTTATTTGCACGCCAGACAATGTAGAAGAAAAAGTAAATTGTGCTCAAGCCAAAACCCCCCGTGGGCGACGGGTCCCTCATTTTTTTTTTTAAAATAACGAATTATCAAATACATAACCACATTGAAAAAGAGAACAAGATAATAAGCTCTAAGGTCTAAAACGTAGTCAATATAGCAAAGAACAATAAGATCAAAATATATCAGCACGCAAGTGTCCTAAAGTACTAATCGTCTAAGAAACAGTAGCATCCTCAGGCAGCGGTATCATCACCACGTCCATCACCTTGAGCATTATCATCCTCAGCTCTCCTCAAATCCTTCTCAATCAGAATGGTTAAAAGCTTGACCAAGGAATGCATCCGTACCCTTTGTCCTCCTACAGTCCCAGAGGACTTCTCATGTCCTCTCTCTAAACCGGTCATTTTGGGATGGAGCAATGTTATTGAGATCTAATTTACTATAATTTTTGGATTAACTGTGGGCTCCATCAAACATTGGATCTTGGTGTTTATCCAATGGTTCTAATAAAGCCACGTCTTAGGTTAGCAAATTATGTCAGATTATTATATCCAAATAGTATTTTCCTTTTGGATAAATAGAATCTAGTGTCTTTATGAATCAGACTGAACCGCTCATCCATGTAAGTACGCAGTCTACAAACAGCAACCAAGAGCTCAAACATGCAATCTGGATGTGGGATTGTGGAGGTACTAGGTCTTAGTTCAGTCATATGGATGGTGATGGTTCAGACAATGTACTCGGATGAGTATCAACCGTAAACTTTATTTGATCAAAATGAATCAATCAAACCCTAATTCTAAAATTTAGAATAATCATGATTTTCACATACTCAGAGTGTGGAATTAAAATATCACCTAAAGCCATTGATGCAAATCTTTAATTTCTTGAACAAGAAGAATAATATTTTGGTGTAGTCTGAAACACAGTTTCTCTCTTCTTACTTTTTAATGTAAGATACACAAATCAACGGAGAATGTGCACATTTATAGGTAGAGAGAGGACCGATTTTTTAGATCAACATGAATTCCAATTCCCATCAAAGTAGGATATCAAGAAACTACTTCTTCTCATTGATCAATCAGAAAGCATTAATTATACTTGGTAGATTAAGTTGGTAACCTTATCATCATTTGACCCAAACTAATTATCTATTAATAATCAGTAAAATCACATTTGCCAGATTATGTGGGCTACATTAATTCTTACATTCTCACACTTGGCATATATGATTATCTTACAATTAGGTTTAGCAAGGTTTATATAAACATTGCAATAAATCAAATTCATCATCACCTTAATTTGGTTATCATAATATCACAATTAAACAACCCACTAATGTGAGTCATGATGATCTTACATCATTAATGCAACATAGTCCCTTCCATGTACTACAATACTAACAACCTATTTAACGTGATCTATAATCAAGAAGTATAAATATATAATAAGGTCCAACAAAACTGTTTTGTGCCAAAGGCTATTCTTGTTATCATTCATTCAATCTCATACATGTAGGTACGTTGAAAAACAAGAAATATCATAAACAGTTCAAATAAGAACTAAAAGTTTCAAATAAATAACCATTATGTAAAATCCACAACATTAAGTGAATAACCATCAGAACTACAATCAAGACTCATTATGTTAACACTTTTAAATGACTTTAATAGTTCTTTTCTTAATGAATTTACAATCACGAGCTCCATTCTATTATACTCTATTAACACTTAGCAAAATACACATATATGAAATTATCACGATAAGTTCTCCACGGCTTAGCCATAAAGTTGACAACTCCAAGTCCTGAAATTAGAATTTTGCATCCACAATTCATAAATTGTAGCCTCAAAGTAAGCTACAAATTTAACTTCCACAATTGTCAATCATCACTAGATGATTGGTATTGTCTAAATTTGGTATTGACAATTTACGTGCAAGTATACAAGGTCAACAAGTAATAAAGTGATAAGTAGAGTATCGTTCCCACGAAAAATTATTGCTAACAAATTTCAAGTACTAACTTTATATCACTTGGAATGAATGTGTGTGAAAAAGGGATACTCAAATTAAGAGTAGAGCCCCGTATATATATCCAAAAATAATACAGAGTGACTTAAACATCCTTGTAGTTTAGGCAAAATATAAAAATCTTAGTAAGGGTAAAAAAGGGAAAAGAAATCCTAATAAACCTAGACTATCTATATTCCAACACTCCCCCTCAAGCTAGGCGCAAAAATGTCAACTAAGCCAAGCTTGACAACGGAGTCCCGAAGAATAGACAGAGTGACAGGTTTGGTAAAAACATTCGCAACTTGATCACTGGTCCCCACAAACGATGGAGTAACAAGACCACTGCTGACCTTCTCCCGAAGAAAGTGAACATCGATTTCTATATGCTTCGTTCTCTCATGTAGTACAGAGTCAGAAGCGAGCTGAATAACAGATTGATTATCACAATATAATGTGGATGGAGAGGTCACTGAAAAATCCAACTCGTCAAGAATCGATCGTAGCCAGATAATCTCACATGTGCCAAGTGCCAATGCCCGATACTCTGCCTCTGCGGACGAGCGGGAGACAACTGCCTGCTTCTTGCTCTTCCAAGAGATAAGATGAGTCCCTCGAAAAGCACATAAACCCGTAGTAGATCGACCATCACATGCTCCCCCATAATCTGAATCTGAATAACAGGCTAGAGAACCGGTCTGAGATCCTGATGCATAAAACAACCCAAGTCCAGGACAAGACTTGAGGTACCGAAGAATATGATAAACTGCATCAAGATGAGGCTGACATGGCCTATGCATGAACTGACTAACTCGGCTGACTGCGAATGAAATGTCCGGCCTAGTATTGGCTAAGTAGATAAGTCTACCTACCAATCTTTGATAAACTGTCGGATCTTTCAACTCCTCACCTTCAGCAGTAAGCTTCAGGTTTGGAATCATAGGTGATAATGCCGGTTTGCACCCCAACATCCCAGTGTCTAAAAGAAGATCCAAAACATATTTTCTCTGAGAAAGAACAATACCTCTGCTTCTACGGGCAACCTCAATCCCAAAAAAGTATCGCAGAAATCCAAGATCCTTCACATCGAAGGCCTTCCCAAGGTCTATCTTGACCTGCGCAGTCCCAGAAACATCATCACCAGTAATAATAATATCATCAACATATACCAGAAGGATGACACACTGTCCAGAAGTATTCCGTCGAATAAAGCAGGTATGATCAGAATGACACCTGGTGAACCCCAATCGTATGACTACATCACTGAAGCGAGAGAACCAGGCTCGTGACGACTGTTTCAGTCCATAAAGAGACTTACGCAGTCGACATACCTTTCCAACATACTCCCCCTCACCACGAAAGCCCGGTGGTGCATCCATATAAATAATCTCGTCCAGATCACCGTGAAGAAACGCATTCTTCACATCTAATTGATGAAGAGGCCAAGAGTACTCCGCAGCCAGAGAAATAATTAACCGAACAGTAGTCAATTTTGCCACGGGGGCAAATGTAGCACCAAAATCACGACCTGGTACCTGAGTAAAGCCCTTCGCCACAAGTCTAGCCTTGTAACGATCAATAGTACCATCTGCAAGAAACTTCAGGGTGTAAACCCAGCGACAGCCAACAGGCTTCACCCCTGAAGGTAAGGAGACAAGATCCCATGTATGATTACGCTAAGAGCGTCCATCTCTGTCTGCATGGCAAGAACCCACTGGGGCTCCGGCATAGCTTCCGAAATAGAGCGAGGAACCAGCGTATCTGATAAGGCCATAGTATAAGCTCGAAATGTGGGAGACAGATTACCATAAGAAACATAAGCAGAGATCGGATATAAAATCTTGGCGGTCCAACCATATCGATCAACTGGACGGCGATCACGCCTTGGATAACGACGCCCTAAATCACCATCCTCTACTGATAATATCTTATCAGGTAAAGTAACTGGCTCAGCACCTGTAATCTCATCAGTACTAACAACAGGTGCATCAATATGCTCAACAAACTGAGAAGTATTACCTGCATCGCCTGAGGTAGAGGGGATATCAGCAGGGTGATGAGAGCGAGGACAACGAGCATACACCTGCAAAGGAAGAGAGACTGGTAACTCTGTACTGACAGGGATGAGTGACTCCTTTGGAGGAAAAACGGATGACCCTGTAGGGATAGTGATCAATGACTCTGACTCTTGTGGTAATGGAAAATGGAGTATCATCAACTGGAGGGGCAGACAAAGGACTGAAAGGAAAATAAGGAATATGCTCAAGAAAGGTAACATCTAGACTGTGATACATACGACGCCTAATAGGATCATAACATCGATACCCCTTAGATTGATGACAATAGCCCACAAAGATACAACGAATCGCTTTATCATCAAGTTTATGACGAGTAGGAGACCGATCCTGAACAAAACATGTGCATCCAAAAACACGAGGGGGGACCGAAAAAAGTGTCCGCTCAGGAAATAAGACCTGTAAGGGAGCCTTATGCTGAAGAACACGACTCGGCGTACGATTGCACAGAAAGGTAGAAGTCAAAACAGCAAAATGCCAATAAGATTTTGGTACCCTCATGCCTCTAAGCAGACAACGTACCATCCCTATCAAACTCCTATTTTTTCTCTCAGCAACACCATTTTGCTCAGGAGTATATGGACAAGTGAGTTGCTGAAGGATACCCTGAGAAGAAAGGTGAGACACTAAAGCATCAGACACATATTCTTTGGCATTATCCGAACGAAGAGCACGAACAATGACATCGAATTGTGTCTTAATCATCTGTAAAAACTGAGTGATTATAGGGAGCACATCAGACTTCCTATGCAAAAGGTAGACCCAAGTACAACGGGTATGATCATCTATAAATGTCACATAATATCTGGCACCTGACAGAGCAGTAACGGGAGAGGGTCCCCAAATATCAGAGTGTATTAGGTCAAATGGCTTGGGTGACTGGTGCATGCGAGGAATATAATTGGCCCTAACATGTTTTGATAGGGAACAGATAACGCAATCAAGTTTACCACCAACACAAGCATTACTCAAAGCAGGAAACAACATACATAAATATTTAAAATTTGTATGTCCAAAACGGTCATGCCACAATTGAACAGTTTGTGACGAAAAATCATAACGACAACTACTAGGTAAAATACTAGCATGCAAGCTAGGAACAGAAAAAGACAAAGCAGGTGCAGGTGAAGGAATTGGTGAAACTGGAGATGGATTGCCAAGATAATACAGTCCATCTTTCTCATGTCCCTTGATAATAATCCTCCTGGTACTCAGGTCCTGCAAATAACACGAATCAGATAAGAATACAACCGCACAGTGAAAATCTCTGGCTAACTGATGTACAGATAATAGATTCATGGCCAAC